AACGGGTTCAAAAAATGATTCGCCTCGTTGGAGTTCTCAGGTTTTGCAAAGAAAGGCAGGAGTATTAAAAACTGTATCAAAAATTAATCTTGAAAGAATGACAAACAGGTCACCTGGTATTCGACGGACGAATTAACGAATATGGCGGCCCGCAGCCATTGGTCTGGGTGATCTAGATATCCTGCTTTGATCCATTGCACCGTCTCACTATGATTTGTCTTAAGGTAAATAATGAGGCTCCCCATTAAATTATAGTACATGTGGTACATAACTGTCAAGCACTTTGGACCTTGCATTTTGGGTCTCACAAGTCTAGCCGTGTAACCAAACCTAGGAAACGTGGCATACATTCCATAACCTACGAATAAATTGACGTTCACTGAGATCACTTGTACTATCTGGTGTCATAAAATGATTTTTTGATACTGGTCAGGATTAAGACGTTGATTTGGGTGTTCTATATATCCTACTTTGACCCATTGTACTGTCTCGCTAACCTGTCTTCCGGTAAATGATTAGGCTCCCTGTGAAATTATAGTACTTGTGGTACAAAACTGACAAAAACTTTGGACCTTGTATTTTGGGGCTTACAGGTCTAGCCTTGTAACCAAAATTACGAATCGCGGCATGTATTCCATTGCCTACCTATAAATTTACGTTGAATGAGATTACCTATAATCATATATAAGGATCTTTCGATATTCGGCAGGATTAAGACGTTGTACCAATGATAATGCGACGGAAACCGTTATTAAAGAAGATATTGATAAATAAATAAATGACCACCTGGATTTGCCAAAAACGTTGAGGGCTGAATGTCACATTCAAAGTGCGCTATCCTATTTGTGGCAGTTACCTGATACATCAGACCGAGGTCCCATTAGTAGGCTCGATGTGTTTCCTGAACGTACAATCCAAATGTGCGCATTACTTATATGGTCATTTTTCCAATAACATAAGGTAGAATCATCGAAATCGCAGTCTAGATGGTGGAAAAATTGTATTTATTACTTAAAAGTTTTCATTTAGTTACCTCCAGTAATATGCAAATGATTGAGGTAAAAATTGTTGTGCAGTTCGGGCGGAAGTATAGTAAGTAGAGTCAAAATGTCACGATCTTTAAACTTTCTCTTAAAAATATAAAGACACAACAACTCTGACAGTGGCTATCGAGAGAGAAGTGATTCAAGGTTATTCCTTTTGGAAAGAGCACCCGAACTTAATGTTCATCAGGACCTCGAAGACCTTGAACTCACCCATCTTACTCGATTCTGTATTTTTCCGTCTTAATGGCAAAGTGGGAAACGCTTCTTATAATACCTGTCTTCCCAAGGCTCGTGCCCTTAGATATTGCACTAAAAGTCAGCCGCATCCCGCTTACAATCAGCATTACCTGGAGAGGGCACTCTGGTTGTGTTTGTTGCCAAGAGAGGCCTCATAGTGAACAAAAACAGCGTGGTATGGAGGATTCTCCAAAAGCTGTTAAAAAGCATGTCACCGGCTGCAACCTGCTGTTGTGATCCTCTCCTTTTTCCTTTTCCGTTGCCGTGAAACTAAAAACAAATTCCATCCATCTGCTAAGTTGATCTTCGCTAAAAGAACTTATTGCTAAAATTGCATAATTGAATAAAATCTCGCATTCTGATTGGTTAACAGAGCGAGGTATTTATCGTGGAATTGCGAGTTGAAAACGAGGCTGAGTGATAACGTTTCGCTCAGGATGAAAACAAACAATATTAAAGCTGTTTCGTTTTTTCTTATTCAGTTATGCAATTCAACGAAAATCCAGTTCCTGACCCTTGAATTCTGCGTTAAATTGCACTTGAAAACTCATAAAACCGCTTCGCGATTCGTGCGATTTGTGCATTATCCACTTTCAGATAGTTTTCTTTTGCAGGCGAAAAAATACAAAATGGAGGAGCAAAAAAAAAAACAACAGCTAGCGCTCTGGTTTATCGGCGGTTTGAAAAAGAATAAGGCACTGAGAAACCTGTTGTTTTTTCTGATGGCGTGATGATTTTTGCAGAATTTGAATAAATTATTTTTCCACGTATTTCACGCGTGTTGTTTTTGTAAACAATCGAAGATCTTATTCATAAATATTATAACTAAGTCACAACATGATTTTCCTCGTGAAATGTGAGATACATTAGTAGCAAAAAACTGAACGGACTCTAAAAATAAAGAGAATAGAGACTGTGTCGATGTCTCTTAAACCATATTGGATTTTTGAATGAGAATCGCTTAAACACCAACATAATAATTTGAGTACTAACTTTAAACTCAGACCAGAATTTTCATTTATTTGAATTTAGCTATGCATGAAAATTCTCTATGACATTCAGAAAACTCGAAATAGAAAAGGGATTTAGGACAAAAAGTGGCACGCTCAAAATTGTGAATAGCTGTTTTCTTGTCGAATACTTAATATGGAACTGTAACCTTAGGATTGACCGAACTCAACAATTAATATATATAACAAGAGTATTGATGCTTTACCAATGGCACTCAAAGTCCTGTCCGCTTAACACATGAGACGAAAATATCTTTATTTGTTTCTTTCTGAATTGTCGTTTTCTGTGAGGAGTAAGTGATGAAAACCATGTAAATAAAGTGCATAAAATAGAAGTACCAAGTTATAACAATTAAAATTAGTGTATTCGCATTGAAAAACGCAATTTACCTTAATATCTGTGATGCGGAAAAGTATCCGCAGGTTTCATGAGAAAGTGCGTGTTAAAGGCAAATTATCAAGTTCGCTTTACATCTATAATTTTCCTTTTCGCAAGACATTTAACCATAACACAAAATAAAATTATGGAGAAAAGCATCCTTCTAAAGAAAGAGATAAAAACTGCACAAACATTGTGATGGTTTTTCGTAATCGAAAACGTATTCAATTGTGTCCATGTCATGATGGTTGTTGAGTGATATTGAGTGAGTTGAGTGATGGTTGTTGAGTGATATTTACCGCAACATTAGTTCATTTACAAATGTCGTTTGGATTATGATTATGAAATGTTGCGTCTCAACTAGCTTTAACTGATGATGTAAAGCTTTGGTCTCGTTAATGGCCAGAGTGATATCTAACTATCATCGCACGCCATGAGACACGGGAAAATGTTTCCTTTTAGTTCCATCAATCCTTTGACTTCCGAGTCATTTTCTAGTTATCAAGTCTTCGTTCACCCCTCCATCTAGTTGAATGTAGCAAAATTATGGAGCAATGTTTCTTATCACCCTTCCAATTTCATTTTATTTTTAATGCAAAGGGTATTGGGGAAAGACGTAAGAAATAGATATATCTGATGCAACTGCCCTCAGAGAAAAGCGCACAGTTATACCTTAATGTAGTTCACCATGACAAGTTAGACCTGCTTTAAAGAATAAAATGTATAAACTGTATCCGTATAAACGTATTCTACATCAATGCGAGCAGGGACGTTACAATTGAGAAATCATTCGTACTCCATTACTGAGGCCTGGGTAGGATTCGCTGACCTAACGTATTGCTAAAGCTTATTCGTTAGCTTTTATCCTTTGTTTGATGTTTTTGCTATAACTTCGCCAGTTTTCCTCTTGTACCAATCCCATTACTCCGGGATTGTTCAGAGTTTTTAATGACGACTAACTTCTATGAGTTCTGTTTCTGTCTTTGTTAATTTCCAGTGTCAATTGCATGTGATTCAACGCGAGGATGAAAGTTTGGATTTTCATGTATCTGCCAGAGCAAAGCTCTGTAAACTTGATGAAACTCTTGAAGAGTAAATATTCACGAGGGTTTCGTTACCAAATACTTTATACTAAGAGCTTACAAGGAAATCAAGTATTTTATGATCTCAAAGAAGGTTTTGCAATGGTGCAAGCTTTAAACCTCGCTTCGTCCGATGATTTATTAAATTCAAAAGGACGCCGCTTCTTCCATAAACCGGCTTACGACCTGTAAGGGAATTTGATCATTAACAAAATAGACCAAAATACTTAGCATTTAAAGTTGAAAATGAGTTTTGGGGGTCAAAATAAACAGCTGTAATCTCTTTTATTGGTATATTTTCCTGGGTGAAATACGCCATGGTTGATTTTCTTCTCTAAAACTAGCCAAACATATAAAAACCAACATAATCTGACCACAAACATGAGAAACCCAATGTTACCTGTATATACTTTCGACCGTCTTTCACTCAGTTGTAGACTCGACTTCGTTGTGTCTCACTGCCTAATAATCGTCGCCGCACTTTGTACTAATGCCTGTCACACATTGTAATAAACAAGCTGTCTTAATTGATAATAACAGACCATCGCACTTTGTAATAAAGTAATTTACTGCACTTTGTAATTAACAGCACCCGTCGCACTTTGTAATATAATGATTGGTAGGTGGTCTGAATGCAAGAAGACCTAATGATAATCATTATCCTTGTCAATAAAGATGGTAAAACTACGAGTACTAACAATAAAAGCAAAAATGGTAATAGTAATAGTGGTGATGATAACAACAATCATCATTTTATCAATGCTAAGTGAAGGTCAACTTCAGATCCAAAGCTTTGATCCAGATCGAAAGTTCCGTTTGGTCCGCATGTGTTGTTTTGAAACACGAAAAGTTCCTTACTGCTAATGTATTATGCAGCAAATTGACTGTCATACTTATTATTGCATGGCGTCTTGGATCCGCCTAATTTGGTCGTAGAATCCCTTGCACCTGCTAAAAACTAGAACAAAACGAATATGGAAATAATCAATTAATGTTTTAAAACGGTAATAGTGATGATGATAACAACAATCATTTTATCAATGCTAAGTGAAGGTCAACTTCAGATCCAAAGCTTTGATCCAGATCGAAAGTTCCGTTTGGTCCGCATGTGTTGTTTTGAATCACGAAAAGTTCCTTACTGCTAATGTATTATGCAGCAAATTGACTGTGATACTTATTATTGCATGGCGTCTTGAATCCGCCTAATTTGGTCCTAGATTCCCTTGCACCT